GGGGGGGGGGCGCCAGTTTCTCCGGGAGGCCGGGCTGCGCCCCCCCTCCCCGGGCGGGGGACAGGTGTCCCGGCATTTGGGGTGGCACCTGCATGCCCAGCGGCGCGCCCTCGCCGGCCGATCAGGCGCGCCTCAGCCTGTGGAGCATGGGCGCAAAGTGGTATTAACGTGCCGCGGCATACAGGCGGGCACATGCACGCGCGCGCACACGCACCCGGGCGGAGGCGCGCCGCCGCGAGCAACAGCTATGTGCCGTGGCCTTGGAGCGCCACACAGCCCCCCTCCAGAATGGGCAACGGGCATTCTCATCCCCCCCCCCCCCCCACACCCGGCATGCCAATGGACGTGCCTCGCCTCGGGCGCGGTCCCCAGGACCGCCGCTGAGGAGGGGGGAGCGAACAACGGGAATAGCAGCCGGCCGGCTGGCCCCCCCCCCCCCCCCCGGGGGAGACTGCGGGGTCCGTGGCCACGGGCGGGGACAATCTCGAACCATGGCGCGCCGGGCCCCGGCCCCGGCCGCGCCTGCCCGTCCGCAGGAAGGGGCAGCGCGATATCTATCTAGTGCGCCGCCGGAGCCGGGCCCCCCCCCCCCCCCCGGGGCCGGGCGCCCGCCAGTAGTCAGAGCCGGTCGAGGCCTGCACCTCCCCCCCCCCCCCCCCCCCCCCCCCCCCCCCGCCGCCGCCCCGTCCCGCGGGCGGGCGGCCGAGCCGGCACCATGGCTTCGGCCGCGCCGCACATCCCGCCCGGAGCCGGGCGCGATCGCGGGCCGCCGGTATGGAGAGACTGGCCCGGCCCGGCGCAGGCGCGCCCCCCCCCCCGGCCCACCTGGGTTTGGGGGGGGGCGGAAAACCGTCAGGCAGATCTCCCCCCCGGCTGGGGGGAACGGGCGGGCGGGCGGGCGGGCGGGCGGGCGGGCGGGGGACCACACTGCGCTTGGCATGATCGGAGGGGCCCGGGGAAATACCAACGGGCATATGCGGGCGGGGTGGCCGCCACACGCCACTACATTCAGACGCCAGCAGCGTGGACCGCCTCCGCCGCCCGGCACAGCCCGCAGCACCATTCGCCGCTCCCCTCCCTTGCCTGCCCCCTCGCCCCCTCGCCCCCCCGCCTTCCTCTCTCTTCCCCCCTCCCCCCCCCCGCCCTCCCCCGTTTGCTTTCCCTCCCCCCTGCTATGTCCTCGGCCCAGGCGGAAGCCGCGCCCGCTTCGCCTAGTCGCATCGGCCCGCCGACGTCCCCACTGGTGGCCGACTTCCCGGACGCCGCTCCGCACCTGGGGAAGATCTCCCTGCCACCGCTGACCAGGGATCGCCCCGCGGCGACCGACGCGGCTGACGACATGGGCGGCACCCTGTCGCCGACTGGCGCGCCGTCGCAACTCCGCCGGCCCAGCTCGGCCGTGGCCTTCCAGCTGGCCACCGACCGCTTTGACTCCAGCGAGTCGTCCTCGCTGTCCGGCGGGGCACACGCCTCGTCCAGCAGCCCGGCCCTGACACCGGACCTCCGTGGCGGCCCGGACGGGCAACCCGCCGGCTCGCAGGTGGCCTCCCCGGGCGTGCCCCCGGCCGGGGAGCCGCTCCCGCCAGCCGGCGGCTTCACCTTCAAGCCCGGCGCCATGTCGGCGGCCGGGAGACCCTCCGCCGACCTGGAGGCCGCCGAGGGCGGCCCCTTCCCCGGGGCCACGGCCGGTGTCATTGGCGTCGGCGAGGTTGGCGAGGCGGACACCGGCTCCCCGGACCTGGCCTCGCACTACCTCAGCTGGACGCCCGCGCAGAAGCGCCTGGTGGTCGGGGTGGCCGCCGTCACGGCCCTCCTCCAGCCGCTGGCCATCAACATCTACACGCCGGGTACGCATCTCGGCCCTTGCCACGCCGCCACCGATCGGGGGGGGGG